TCATCCTGTTCATCATTGGGGGGCAACCATCCAATGGGACTTTCATGTTCAAGGCGGCATTGCGTGACAAGTTCGGTTGGAAGCCCTGCCTGAATGCACTCCCCCAAGAAACTTTCACTGTGTTTCTGTGTCGGTTGACTCTGAGAGGAAACGACCTGCCTTTGAGGAACGTCGGTGCCAATGCTTTGGCCGGTGAGCTGCGACCTGGAAGACTCGACCTGTGAGAACACTCCAGAATACAAACGGCTGTCATGGACCTGCGTAGTATTTCTGGTTGATGTAATTGCACAACTCAGGCGACAGTCAGGGGACACATTTTCGGAAGGAGCTAGGGACCATGGCTTGCTCTGCATCACCAACGAGTCCTCCAGGATTCGGATATGGTGAAACTTCCATTGATCCTCACATCCAATATATAAGTCGACCTCAGGACAAAACTTGACTGCATGGCGAGATGGGATCTGGTCTACCCTAGGCGGAGTTGCAGGCTGCGCATCTGTATGTGATTCGAGATGGTCAAACAACGAACTCACACTGGACTGACATACCTGGTCAAATGACACATGGGAGGCAACAATGCAGTCTTTTGCATCATGTCTAATTTCTTGGGGGATATTTGGCTTCGAACTCAGTAATGGATCATTCAATGAAGCGATGCCATGTTGAATCGAGCATGCACTATCCCTGAACTGCATGGGGCGATTGCTCAAAACTGCATGAGGCTTGTGGGTCACATGTTCAGCTCCCGGTTTCAGACACGGACCACTGTCTTCGCAGCGGTACGGAACGGGTGTGTCTGGGTGCTGCATCAACACGCTCTGTGGTCCATGCCGCGCAAAATGAACCTGAACCTGACCTGCATTATCCCTGGAGTCAATGCGGACATGGTTAGGCGCGAGTGCATGTTGTGAGAAAGAACCTGCAAAATCTTTGTACAGATCCACCTTTGAGAAATACTGTACAGATTGTGGGGTCCTACCCTGGGGAACATCGGCAATGGCGACATCGGGTGCACTGGCTTGCAGGGAACATGTCGGATTGGACGCAATTTCATGCGCCAAATGGAAGGCAATGTCTGCGGCCATCCATTCATCTACAAAATCGGGCTCGATCAAAACTGAGTGATTCCATTTGAGAGCAGGATTAAAAATACTCTCAAAATTCACAGGCAAAAGGACTTCAGGCAATTTCTCTGTCCGCAGGCCAAAATGGAAAGACCCCTCAAGATCGCATGAACTGGGCTGCCCATGAGCAATACAAGTTGCAAGGGTATTCGCTCGGGCGCCCCAAAAGAAGGATGCGGACCATCTTCTGCGTTTGCGGCATCTGGCTGCTCCGGCATGGATGTCCTCGGACGCTTTCGCATTTGGTCCTGCTCGACCTCTTGCTGCACAGCTTGCTCGGCCTGCTTGTGAAGCGTCTGGAGGCTCGACGCTAGATCCTGGAAACTGGCTGCAATCTTCTGCCCGGCTGCAGTCTCCGCTTCCTTTGGTTCGGCGTCTTCGGCATCGCTCATCGGCGCTGACTCCTCCTTGGACTCCAAGCCTGCAGCTGTTTTGCATGCTCCCAGATTTGCTTTCGCTGCGAGAAGGTTCTCCTGAGCTAGCTTGAGGCGCTCTTGCATCTGGCGCTCCTGTTGCATGAATTGCTCTGTGTATTTTGACCATTGGCCCACAGACTGCGCAAGGAAGTTCTTCCATGCGCCATGCATGTGCAGTCGAGCTGCTTGTGCTTCTTGGAGTTCCTTCTTCGCTCTCCCGTGCTGGGACACCGCAGAGTGGAGGATCTTCGTTTCCTCTTGCCCACTGCGAACTGTCACCTCCTTGACAAGGGATTGCAGCTCCTCTGGGAGTTCGTCCTTGCGCCGTCTCAATGCGGCAACCAGGGATCTCATTTGCCTGTCCTTGTCCTTCTCTTCCTTGGTATCTGGGGCACTGTTGGAGTTGACCACCATGGGAGTGGAGCTGGTGGATGCCGTTGGTAGCGTGCCAGCTAACCAGGGAGGTTCCAACAGCGGCGTGGCAGGAGAGAGCTGAGGCCCATAATGCTGCTGCTCTTCCAAGGCCTTTCCCTTGCCTTTGCCCTTGCCTGCCTTGCTTTTGGCTGCAGGGCGATTGGATCTTCTTCTCGGAGACTGTCTCCTTCTGGGGGATTGAATCCACTGTTCTGCATTCCAGCTGTCTTGCCCTTCCCAAGGATTTTGATGCCACTGAACCTGCCTCTGTGATGTCCTGGGTGGAGGTGGCACAAACTCTGGGTCGAGACACGATCTCCAGGATTGGCCACACTGCGCGCAGAACTCGTGTTTTCCTGAGCAGATTCTCTTGCATGGCAAGCACTTCCAAGGCCCATGGCATAGGAGGTCATTGCTGATGAAATCTGTGCAATGAATGTAGGGTCTCGTGAATGATGTTGTTGGAGCAGCGACTTGACGCGTTTGATCCGTTGGGGCGGCAAAGTTTGGATCCCTTTTCGATGTAGATACCAACTGAGCCGTGCCAATGAACGCTTTCTGCGCTGAGCCCTCCTCTGTGATGCAGTGGCCGTTGCAGCAACTTGTATCAATCAGCTCAATGGGGGCAAAATCCACGAGGTCACAAGCCAGAATGAATGAAATAATGAAGGTCGCAATCACGGTCAAAACTGAGCACATTCACAAAATTGAGCCAGAAGGATGGAAAAAAGGGAGCTCACCCCAATGAAAACTCCAGTGAAAAATTGTACACTTATGAGCCAGTCAGTGAAATGTCAGGGAGCTCACCCCTGTGAAATACCAGGTGTTAAGGCACACCTGCAGAGGCCAAAATTGAGGTCCAGCGTCCACGCAATGAACCCAAGTGTTATGGCACACTTGCAGAAGCCCACGAAGGTGATGCACCCAAAACAGTGCAGAGCACGTGCAAAAACCCAGGCTTTTTGCGGAGCTGGGACTCCGATGTCCAAGGAGAGCAACAGGAACAGACAAAGTCGATGATCCAATGCAGGTCCAAGGTGATGAAGTGCGCAGCCAATCCAATGGCAGTGGGCACTTAAGGTCAAGATGACCCGTGGGTAAAGAGGCACCGAATACCCACTAAGATTAATGGCAAGGCAACCGACCCTAACAAGCTTCGTTGCGGGGGGGAGCTCGTGCCAAAACCTTAATGGGAAGGATTATCCCATATAGTATGGAAAATAAAAAATGTTCCAAACCACCAACCAGAATGGATTGGTTTAAGGGAAAATCTTCACCGGAAACCATAAATTTTGTCATGAAGATCATGGGGCTTTCTGGTTTATTTTTTTCCCTTAAACCAATCCATAAAAGTCAGTTGGAAGGAGCCTTCTTCGTGATGATTGAATTGGTCCCGAAAATCCTACAGTACAAGTATATATATATATATTTTTTTTATATACAAGACCAACATGGACCAAGAAATCCAATCAAATCTAGGATTTGATGAAGTGACCAATTCGTCATGATACCAACAATGGCCATCATAATACCATCGAATGGGAATTTGAAACAACTAACACGTGGATTTGATGAACAAAAAAATGTAAAACATGATCAAACGTGGGGATTCACTGAACAACACTGGTGATGACATTCACAAAAAAAAGGCTGGGAAACTATTGACGAGAGGTTAGGCATGGTTACCCTCTGGTAATTTAACGAAGCTATTGAAAATGGCCATTAATAGTGGATGTTCCCATTAAAAATGGTGATTTTCCATAGCTATGTTAGTTTACCAGAGGTTAGGCTATGGATGATGAAAACGATGAACAGTGAAGCGAGGCCTGAAGACCTCCCCTTTTTCGCCACCCACGGTGGCCGACTCGTCGAGCCACTCGTGCGCAAAACACCGCTGTGCTGCAGCCGATCTGCGAAAGTGGCGCCAGCCCTGGCCATCAATGGCAACATCCTAAGTGGATATGTTAGTCTCTTATTTTGTGTAATATCCCAAACAGGGTATACCCAACAGTAGATCAGGGTATATCCCAACAGTATTTTACTCTCTTGTTTTGTGTTAAATTAACCAAACAGGGTATAATGGGCGTCAGCAATACTTTTGGGTTAATTTGACTGGAAATAAATCCCAAGTAGGGTATACCCAACAGTAGACGACGAATTGGGGCTGGTTGATTACTGATGGCCTGTATTCCACCCTGGCATTTGGGAAATAGAAATGCTAATGACCTTGGGAAATAAGATGGACATAAGATCAATGATATACAAATTGCGATTTTGGCACCGCCACATTCAAGGACTTTTGGCTTCAAGTAGGTGTTAACTTTTTTGAGGTAGGTGTTTGTTTTGTGCCAAGCACTGGCACCACTTCAGAATCTTTTTGTATTACAGTCTCAGTCTGGTATCATGTCAGAATATATGTCAGATTGAATTGATTGTAGACTAAATGCCAGAGAAGGAGATGCCAGATGAATGTCAGAAAACTGGTTTTGTCGTTGGAGATTTAAACTCTCTGTCGATAAAATCCAAAAGTCCAAACATAACAACAAGTTTGGGCTTGCAGTCGCTCGTGGCTGAATATGAGAAAGCAACGATCAGACATACCCCATTGGCATAAAGTGGTCAGCGCTAAGAGCGCTATTACTATTATAAAGTGGTCAGCGCTAAGAGCGCTATTATTATTACTGTTACTATGAAACTTCCACATGATTGTCAACAGCCAGCGCATCTGTCGAGTGAGTACTGCAGCGAAACAATACATATAAAAGCACATGTCTGAAAATCTCTTGACAATGATGCAAGAATGACTCTCAAGCTGGTTCCTTTTGTCGGCCACGATGTGCACTATGTCGACTATGTCGATAAGCAAAAGACCCAAGATTGGGACATCAACGCAATGTCCTGTCAGATGGTGCTTTCTTTCGAGAAGCAAAAATTGATAGCAAGGTTGTGTGGACAAAATGTTTTCGAGTGTCACCGATTTGGGGCAGCCATCTGCATATCAAAATCGTAGGCATTTTCAATGCTACCTGTGGTCCAAACTGCAATGTCATTGCTTATTGAGTTTGCAGCACTGACCTGCAGCAAGGCAAAGCTTTTTGGTTAAATGGATCATGGGCTTCAGCGGCTGCAGCCCCTTGACTGTCCAGCGCACATGCCAAATCAGACTTGCGCATTGCAAATCACAAAAAGTACCAGCTGTTTCGCGTGAGGCGATGTTGGTGAAGGATATAGTCTCTTCTTTGCCGGGTTTTTCTGCTCCTTCATCTGCTCCATCTCGTTTCGTCGGCGGCACAAAGCAAATTTTGTGGGTCAACTTGAAGTCAAACAATGTCTGGCCATCAGTTTTTTGCCCAGAAGGTGTAGCCTTGTGGTAGCAGACAGTAGCCTCAGGCTTGATTTTTCTTTGGTTGAATAGCACTTCTGAAATTGTCTGCACAGCACCGTTGAGGCAAACCAAGGCATCTGAGGAAGCAATGTGAAAAAGCAAAGCTTTCTCAGGTAGTGTGTCACCTTCCTTGAACAACTTGAACGATCCCCTGCCAAATCCAACCAAAGGCGACATTGCTTTGAGACTGAGCTCATGGGAGGTCTGGTTGACCAAATAGAGCTGGTGGTTGGTGCGGATCTGGAATCCAATGGTATCTTTTCCTCCAAGCTTCGTCTCAAATAGAAGCGTCTCTGCAATTTTGTCACAAGGAAGCAAGCATTCTGCAGGCACTTCCTCCACTCGACACCTTTTTGGGCTCGGTTCAGCCTCCGATGTTTTTTCTTCACTGTTTTGTCTCTTGTTGTTGGGTGAAGAATTGTCTGCATCTTCACTCACTGAATACTTTTCCAAAAATGCGTCAAGCCACTTGGAAAATTCATCGCCGAAATCTTCATCAGAACGCCACTTCAGCATCAAGTGCTTTGGCAGCACCAGACTTCGATCTTCACCTTCACCTTTCACAACAAGAAGATTGGTAATTGGAATTGCGGGAAGTGCATCCAGGAGGTCTGGGTTGACTTCTTTCTGAAATGGCTGAGCACCAGGAATTTGAAAGCCTTCCAGCTTCACTTTCTCCACCAACTCTTCGAGCAAAGTCGCGCGAAGCCATTCCAATTCTTTGGCCTTCTCTCCGACACCAATGTAGAACAAGCTGGTCCCAGCATTCAATTGGGTCCGGAGGCGGCAAAAAGCACCTGCAAAATCACCAACTCGGGGGAAGAGGTCCACGATCAGCACAGCTGGAAATTTCTCCAGGTCAACTTGGTTGAAGGCCTTGCGAAAGACCTCTTCTGCAGCAGGACGGCCAAACTGACAATGCTTGGCTGCTCCAGAGATGTGATTGCTTGAAGTTGTGCTTGGGAGGCTGTCATCAGCCATGTCTTCCATTTCCTTCAAGTCCTTGGCGGCCATTTGCTTGCAAGGATCAGTTCGCCCAGCCTTGCGAAGCTCCGACTGAAAGAAGGCATTTGTCTTTCCAAGGTCAACCACATGACCTGGGAAGGCCCAACGAGCAGGGTAAAGCAGAGGTCGGCTGTCTCTCTGATCGCATCTGTCAGAAAATAAGACGCTGAACTGATGGTCCAAGTTGTGCCCTCCTTGTGCCAGCAGCTGCATGCACGCATTTTCCTCCAGGAATGTTTTTCCTTTCTGGTACGAAAAGGTAGGTGCGAAAATGATTGCAGCCGAGTTGGTATTGTCGTGCAACGCCCACGCAAGGCAGTTGATGTGATCATTCTGCCGTCCAGCTGGAAACAGACAGGGTGCGGTCCAATTCATGAGGACCAAGGTAGGAACATCTGCAGCTGCACCAGCTGTGTTTTGGTTGCGTAGCTTTCTCAAAATTTCCATGCGAAATGAGAGGACCTGTGGAACGATGCTATCACTTCCCTTGTTGACTCCTTCAGGAAGCGAACACAACCATCAAGATAGGCTTCCACTGATTCCACGATTTTCCTGTGTTCAGAAACGACATGTTCCTGCTTCGCATGCTGGCGAGCCATTGCCACTGATGCGACCTTCGATTGCCAAATTTCGAAGACCTTGATGTCATAGTCCATTTTCTTCACAACATGGTCGAACTCATCTCTCTTCAGCTTGTCTCGCATTTCCACCTGCCAGCATTGTGGAACAAAACAAACTCACAATTATCCTAATGATTGGGGAGAAGATTCAACAGAAAAGGTGTTTTGGTGCAGAGGCCATCATCAAGGCAGCTTCATTGCAACACCGACTAGTAGACCAAAAACTTTGAGGGAGGGAATAAAGCTTGAAATTATTATCTTATCATTGTTTTCGTCATTATTATGGGTTATGCTACTCATCAAACAACGACTACCACGTCAAGAAAAGAGCCCCGGCCTCTTGGGAAGAAGACACCGGCGCACGAAAAAGAGATTCCTCCAGCAAAGCCTTGAAACAAGGCATGTGGGTCGCAATGGCAAAGGATTCGGACTTCTCCAGTAACTGCGCGGCCAGCTCCATGTCAATGCGCTTGCATCCAGAGGACCACTCATCCAGTATCTTCTTCTGGACTGTCTCCATGGTGATGGGATGCTCAGAGCAAAACTCATCTGCTAAGGAAACGAGGCAAGCTGCTTTTTCAGCCAGTAGCTCACAAGCTCTGTCATCCGGCTTCTTCTGGCTGCACTTCTCACAAGACTGGTGCTCCTGCTCCCAATGAATCCTGAGAACCATAATTCTCAAGGACCTGTCGCTGACTCTCAATCTCTGTTGCCACTTCCTGTTCTTGGCTGGGAAAACGTGTCCTGGGAAGAGACGTTTTGAAGCCAAATTCTCCTCAGTCCAAGCACAATTCTCCCATCCAAGAGTTCCAACATGGTTGAGGATCTCATCCAGCACGTCCTGAACAGCGAGAAAAGGATAGTACACATAAAGAAAAACTTATCTACTATTTTTCCCTGGAGAAGTGACAAAGTTAGGGGTGGTGTCACACAAACACTATAACTTAAAAAAAAATCCAAGTAGTCCTTGGGAGCGCTTTCGAAGAGGAGCTTCAGTGCAGTTTGCTTGCGACCGCGAAGTTGGTGAGCCGCAACAGACTGCTGGTTGTACTTTCGCAGGAAAGTAGTGTAGTCGGTGCCTCCTGAAGCCAACAGACGTCTGACCATGAAGGCAATTTGGATGAGGTTGGCTGCCTTTCTAAGGGATCCTCTCGTGCTCAACTTCAGGTTGCACAAGACCTCATCTTCCTTGCTGTTTTGCCGCATATGCTGAACCCAAATGACTGAGACGGAATCGAATAACTTCGGGCAGAAGCTTTTCAAGTCATCCAAGGAGACCTCTTCTTCAAAGACTGACAAAAGAAGAGCGAAGAGACTGGTAAGTCGAGCACGTCCTTTCAAATATCCCAGGCTAAAAGGCTTGAGTGCTGACTCTTCAGATCCCCAAAGGCTGGGAAGACCAGCTGCCTTCTCAACTGCCAATGGCTGAGCCATCAGAATCACATCTCCGCTGGTTATGAAGCCATCCTTGAGGTACATTGCCATGAGGCCCAAAGCCAAATCACGTCCTGGAGCAGGTTTCACCCCACAGCCATCGGTCCAGCTGAAGGACGACACATGGATAGCAAGTGGTGGCGACTGGGCCAATTCATCTTCCAGCACACTGGGAACTACTTGGTCGTGGTGATAGCAGATATCTGGTCTTTCAGGCCATGTTTCCAGCAGCCAAGTAGCGAAACGAGCCTTGTCTGCTGCCGTCTTCATTTTGTCTTCCAAGTAGCTTCCTGGGCCAGCTGGATAGTTCTGAAGAATGGTTCTCATTTTGGCCAGCCACTCCGTTGCGAACTGGGACGCATCATCCACACACTCATCATCAATTTCAATTGTCTCAACCTCTGGTGCATCAGACACCATTGCCATGTTCGAATTGGGGGGAGCTAGTCAGCCTGACAAAGCAACGCAATGCCAGCTCCACTTGAAACTCCAAGCTGCTATGAGCCATCAAGTTGCAAAACGACAAAAGATTGCAGCACTTGATGCTGCTCTGACAAACATATTTTCCAATTTCACTGTCATTATTATTATTTATTATTTCTATTACAGCGCCCAATTGGTCGCTACCTACATATTCATATTTAATAAGCGCCCAAACGGTCGCTAACCTACATAGGGAAGAGAACCGAGGCAAACCGTGCAAATGCCAAAACTGAATTCTGAGCTGCTGTTTCTGATTCTGTGGCTGCTCATGCCTTTCTGACACAACAACTTCAAATGGATCCCTCATGCCATTTTTTTTCACTGAAAAGCATTGCGCAACGCATGCAACGCATTGTAGAAAAAAACGTTCTGACCTGCTCTCTTGCCTCTTCTGCGTCCACTTTTGGGAGCTGGGTTTTGTACAGGTCTAAGAGCTGGCACTACCCTAGGTGCTGCCTTTGAAGAAGGAGAGATCGATGAAGTAGGCTGGCTTTCAGCTGAAGGTTTGCTACCCGAAGCTGATGCAGTCGAACTTGGGATGCCTTCGTCATGAGCAGGCATTTCAGCTGGTGCGGCTGACTGGTCAGCTGACTGCATACCACCAGTTTCATCTCCTCGACTTCGAACTTCTCGACTAGAATCGTCTGGTGACAAAGGCCTCTTCAAGGCATTTGCTGCAGCAGGGCCAGGTTGTGCAGGCTGACTGGGTTCTGAAGATACCTTGGAGTTCCACAAACATTCCAAGGAATCATAGTGGCGTCCTTTGTGAGTCACTGGGCGCTTCTGAAGCTTCTGCTCGAGGATGCGCAAGGTTGCAGCGGCAGCAAGTTTCCTTTGACGCTTTGACAGTTTCCGATTGGAATCTGACTTTGACTCAGTGGAGGACAGGTCGTCAGCCATGGCAGGAAAAACTGGCAGCACAGAGACGCAGAAACAGAGCACTGGAGAGAAAAAATAATAGGTCAATGAAATGGGAACTTCATAAGAAGTGACTAGTTGGGTGCACCTGCTGCTCCTACCTGATGCTCAAGTCAATTTGAGTTTATCTGAATTGTTTCCTGCCACTGCCTCGTCTCATGGGCCTGGTGAGCCACAAGATAAACGGTTCATCTCACTGACTGGTATGCCAAAAAAAACACAGTGAACCAGAAGAGAAACGGTTCATCTCACTGACTGGCATGCCAAAAAAAAACACAGTGAACCACAAGATAAACGGTTCATCTCACTGACTGGCATGCCCAAAAAAAAAAACACAGTGAACCACAAGATAAACGGTTCATCTCACTGACTGGTATGCCAAAAAAAAATCCACAGTGAACCAGAAGAGAAGCGGTTCATCTCACTGACTGGCATGCCCAAAAAAAACCACAGTGAACCACAAGATAAACGGTTCATCTCACTGACTGGTATGCCAAAAAAAAAATCCACAGTGAACCAGAAGAGAAGCGGTTCATCTCACTGACTGGCATGCCCAAAAAAAACCACAGTGAACCACAAGATAAACGGTTCATCTCACTGACTGGTATGCCCAAAAAAAAATCCACAGTGAACCAGAAGAGAAACGGTTCATCTCACTGACTGGTATGCCAAAAAAAACACACAGTGAGCCACAGGATAAACGGTTCATCTCACTGACTGGTATGCAAAAAAAACACAGTGAGCCACAAGATAAACGGTTCGTCTCACTGACTGGCATGCCAAAAAAAAATAATCCACAGAGAAAACAGTTGATGCATTCCCCTTACTGTAAGCGCTGGGGGTCAAGCGCTGCCTATTAATATAGTTTTGGACTGTGCCCAGGTAATGGTCGTCCCTAACACGCTAACAGCAGTTCAGATGAAAAAATCGAGGGACAGCAAGACTGACTGTGAAAGCTGCAGCTGTATCTCTGTGGGTGGCTTCCTGCTCTATCCCAGGATGGCCTCTTAAAAACCATTGTTGTCAGAGAAATGTGTGATCAGGTAGCTGCAGTTCAAGCTAAGCTTATCCAACAGATCTCTGCACACTTGACTGTTTTCAGCGGTTATCCCAGGAACGACCGTGAAATCCAGGTCGAAATTTTTGTTGGCCAGATCCCCATCGAGATTTCAGGGGATATCCCAGGATATCCCGTGAAAATTGGTGAAGCTAATCCATGTGAACTACATATTTCAGAAGAGAAAAAAACATATCAATGTAAACAAAATGCTGCCCGTTTTTTTTCTACAAGGTTTAGGGTTTAGGGTTTAGGGTTTAGCCTTCTACTGCAAAATCATGGATGCTTCAAGTATGTTCAAAAAAAAACTTTCACAGAGTTGGAGGCCAGAAGTTGCCCTGTTTTCCTTTTACTCAGCGGTAGTGGTTAAAAAAAACACTTTCACAGAGTTGGAGGCAAAAAGCTGCCCTGTTCTCCTTTTACTCAGCGGTAGTGGTTAAAAAAAAACTGTCACAGAGTTGGAGGCACGAAGCTGCAGTGTTTTCCTTTTACTCAGCGCAGTAATGATTTCAAAAAAACTTTCACAGAGTTGGAGGCAAGAAGCTGCCCTGTTTTCCTTTGACTCTACGCAGTAGTGATTTCAAAAAAATCTAAAGACAGGGAAAACAAAATCGCTTCGCAGCATCACTTCTTCTGGTTTTCCTGGGGGTCATTTTGGAAAGACCACTGCTGCTGCCAGTCCCGGCGCCAACGATAGCGCCCTTGAAGCAACTTCCAACCATCGTGGCTGGAATGGATTCTCTTGTATGTTGTCCAGTCAGCAGTCGACACCCGTTCCAACCTTGCTGCTTCACAGCATGAGTTCCACAAAAAAAAAATGTCTCTAAAATAATAGGTTTGTTCCTAACAAAAAAAACTGTTTGTCCCTAAAATAAAAGGTTTGTTCCTACTTGGGTTTGTTCCTAAAATATAAGGTTTGTTTCTACTTGGGTTTGTTCCTAAAATAAAAGGTTTGTTCCTACTTAGGAGATCTCCTAAAATATAAGGTTTGTTCCTACTTGGGTTTGTTCCTAATATAAAAGGTTTGTTCCTACTTGGGTTTGTTCCTAACATGAAAATGTCTCGGTTGTTCCTAAATTTTAAAGATTTTGTTTGTTAAACTGAAGGATTTCTCCAAACATGTTCTCAAACTCATCATCAGCATGATCGCATTTCTCACAAGATAAACCAAACTGCTCCTTGTCAGAGAATGTTCGCCAGAGTGGCACAAAACGGTAAAGAAAACAATTTGCTAAATGGTAGCAATTTATCCATGGGAGATTGACAAATTAGCACAAGGGTGACACACCCGGGTGCTAAGAAATAAAGAATGATAGTTCAAAAGCAAGGAACTCTCCAGCTGCATTGACCATCGGGAAGGTCTCATTGCGGTCTTTTTCAACAACCCATTCATGGCGCAGCTCGCGACAGTACTCCGTATAGGTTTGGCCTTGTGCATTTTTCAACTCCCCCTTTGGAAAAAAACGCTCCAACTCAAGGAGAGCCACCGTGCTCTGGTCTGATGGGCTTGGTAGCATTGCAGCCGCAGCTGGTCGGCACATAGGAGCAGGTGCTGCCATCAGGGAGGCTGGTCTTTTCATGGTGCGAGGCAGGACTGTTTCTTTGATCCAAAAAAAACTCACAAACAATCGAGTTTCCAACAAAATTTCCCTTGAAAGAGGTCCTCGGGGTGAATGGGGTCCTGGGTCCGCGCGCGCGCGCATGCTAGCTTCAATTTGGAGCCCTTGACGCGCGCGCGCGCGCGGACCCAGGACCCCTTTCACTCCGAGGACCCCTTTCAAAGGAAATTGTGTTTTCCTCGGGCAGGACTGTTTCTTGGCCAGTAGCGCTTCAATCACAAAGCGACATCTCAAACATGTTTTTTTTATGTCTAAGACACTTTCTTTGCCAAAGCACTTCAGGATTCAATCACAAAGCGACATCTCAAACATGATTTGGCTAATGTCTAAGAAAGTTTCTTTGCCAAAGCACCTCAGGATTCAATCACAAATCAACATCGCAAACATGATTTGGCTTTAGTCTAATCATGGTTCTTAAGCTCCAATGTCATTTCCTTCGCACAGAGGCCAAAAGCAATCTGCAGCAAGGCATCTCATTTTCTCTTTTCAATCCAAATGCAAAATCTTGAAGATTGGCTGGGGATATTCAATCAACATCCTCAGCGTCAGCTTTAAGCTGACAAATGTGGCCAGCTGAATCCAAAACGTAACGACGCCTCTTCTGTTCCACCCAGGCTCGACATTGAAGGCACCCAATCCTGGCGCTTCTGCACCTGGAGCATCCATAGCGCTCGATCTTCTCTGAATCTGCCTAGCGGGCCAAGCCAAATTGGTGACTTTACGTGGTCATAAATGCGTTAGGGATATTATTATATGATATAATTATAAAGCGTCCTGCGCTACCTACTTAATAGGGGACCCATTATAGAGCGCTCTGCGCTACCTACGATGCCAAAAATCATAATACATATTATAATACATCAATGGATCGCCAGCTCTGATGCAACTGCAGCAACATTGTCTGAATTTCTGATCACCGACTG